TCATCCTTATTGCCCCCCCCCCCACAGAACTACTCCACTCTACACCATCCCATTTTCCTCTTGCCCCCTTGTCCTTCTACTGCCTCTGCAAACCTTTAGAGTACTCTTTTGGCCTAGCCAAGTAGGATCGATTCTTTGTGATTTCCCTCAAAGCCCCCTACTCTCAGAATACCCTTCTCTTTCAACAGTGCCTCCAAAGACAAGTAGGCAAAATTACCTTTTGCAGTCGCTCCGATCGTTCACTCCTAGTCACAGTTACATCAGAATCCTAAGCTCGTGCAAAGTGCCTTACTACTGAGCCAGCTGTGATGACACCCATAAATTGTAACTTATTTTATAGGAGCTGCCCTGCCTATAAGCTCAAATATGAAGTAGCAGTTCTCAGATTCAAACTAAGCCTCACTCTACTTGAGCCTAGATAGGAATCACTTGCTCTGCAACCCTGTCATCTCTATAAGATGTTTCTGCACCTCCCCCAGTATCTCTTCCCACTACTGTGAAGCATCCTACCCCTATTCTCCCTGTCCCCCAGTCAAATCCCTTTTTCATTCTAAATCCAGATACTCAAATCTCTACTACTTCTCCGATACTTACCCTTCCTCCTCCTCACTTTATGCATCACACCAGACAACCTAAACGTTTTACTCCATCTTTGCTTTCCACACCCTCTCCTTTTTCTCTGCTCCTCAAACATCTATCCCCACTTTTCCTCCTCACAAGAGATCCTTTGTTTCTCAGATCTACCTATCCAAATCCCCTCCAGAAACTCTTGAAGACATCCAAAAATTCCTATACATGAACCAAGAAAATATTCCGTTCCCTTATCCACTATCCAATCACTTTATTCCTAGTCCCTCTATGTTCAAAGTATTTGCTGATATCCATCCTTGTCCCCTGCAAGTTCCCCCTTCCCCTTTTCTTCCTACTCTTTCCCAACAAGCCCCACCCTCTCCTCCATGTACACCATTCCTGGATACTCATGTGAATCCCTTCTGTCGCAACAGTATCTTCCTCCAGATTCCTCCCCTCCTGATGCTCTTCCTGATACTTTACCTCCTTCCCCAGTTCCCTTATCTCATTCCCCAAACTCCTCTCCTTCTACTTCTACAACAGCCCTCTCTACTTGTATTACCTGTTGATTATTTCATAACAACTCTTTTACCAGTTTTTCCTTATCATACTATCCTATGACACTATAACTTTTGACATTTAACACTATACTAGTTGTTAACTCGTTTACCCTTTTCACCACAATACTTTACCATAGTGTTATATGACCTCAGAGGTCTAATCCATTATTTGTTTCAGCCATTAATCAATAAACATCTCTGACTGCCAAAATGAGGATGGCCATTTCTGTGGCATGATTTGTTTTATTTGAATAGTTGTTTGAAAGAGTATAAATATCATGAATGTTAAATCAGTGTTGGTACGCTGTTATTAAAAATTGAAATAAATGTCTGAAGGGAGTATCGAAACACACCTTCCTTCAGACCATAGCTGTCTTCTATCATCTACAAGTTGAGGATAGATGGTGCAGTGTTGTTTAGGATATATTGTAGCTATAGGAAATAATTAATGAAAAAATAACAATACTTTTTTTTTAAATAAAAGAAGCTTGTTGAAATTATATATAGATAAGAAGAAAACACTGTATGCCTAGAATTATTTAAGTGAGTTATTAAACAAAACTATGGTAGTTAGAAGTACATAACTAAAGGAAAAAAGACTTATGTCACAGATGATAAAGTTAGGCAATGGCAATCATTGATAAGTTGTAAAACCTTTAATTAGTAATCATTATGTAGATTCTCATGGGCAGTGTCCTAGTACATGTGAGAATTTCATTATTCTTATTATTTTAGATCATCCATGGACATGTGTGGACCCTGCATATGCATTCAAGATATGCAGTATCCTCTTTTGATATCTAATGCTTTTAAAACATATGACATGTAGTTGAAATAATTCAAATTAATTAAGAAGTGAACTATATATTGTTACTGTAATCCCAGACAAAGCTTTCAATTTTTGATATACATTTAAATATTTGTTTAATGAATTTTAATATTTTATTAACATTTTATAAATAATGATATACATATATCACTATAAGAATGCAATATATTGTTTATATGTTTAAAGTCAGCATATTTTAGGGTGACTTTTTAATCTCTTATAATATTTTTTTCATGATATTGCAGTGGTTTTCAACTTCTTTTTGATCTTCATAGCTAGAGAACATTCTCTTATGAATGAAATAGTGATTATATAACTATAAGATTTGCAATATTTCAGAGAGACTTGTCCATTGGTGCCTTAACCTGACAGACTAGGTTTTATATCAGCATTAAAGTATAACATTATATCCTTTAGGAATTATTGTGTTGAATATACAAAATAGTCTCTTTACACTATATATAAGTGAGGTATTGTATTCTTTGTAGTAATATGTGGTGGTGAAATGAAAGTGAGCTGGAAGGAAATAGGGTAAACTACCAGTGCACCTTTTTATTTGACTGTCAGGTGTTACTCCTTGCCAAACTAAATATTTTCTCAGCTTATGTAGACTTTATATGCATCTGCTATCATGTTTTTTTTGTTTTGAGACTTTAC